GTTCGTTCGTGCGCCAACGTACGCTTATATGCACGCACGCACACACTTATATGCTCGCGCGCACACACGCGCACGAACGAACGTACGCTTATATGCTCGCGCGCACGCACGCATGTAACGAACGTACGCTTATATGCACGCACGCACACACGCATGTAACGAACGTACGCTTATATGCTCGCGCGCACGCACACACACGAACGAACGTACGCTTATATGCTCGCACGAACGAACGTACGCTTATATACTCGCGCGCACGCACGCGCACGAACGCGTACGTTCGTTACATGCGTGTGTGCGTGCGAGCATATAAGCGTACGTTCGTTCGTGCGAGCATATAAGCGTACGTTCGTTCGTGGAAGCATATAAGCGTTCGTTCGTTCGTGCGTGTGCGTGCGCGCGAGCGTATACGCGTACGTTCGTTCGTGCGTGTGCGTGTGTGCGAGCATATAAGCATACGTTCGTTCGTGCGTCTCTGTGTGTGTGTGTGTGTGTGTGTGTGTGTGTGTGTGTGTGTGTGTGTGTGTGTGTGTGCGAGCATATAAGCATACGTTCGTTCGTGCGTGTGCGTGTGCGTGTGTGCGAGCATATAAGCATACGTTCGTTCGTGTGTGTGCGTGTGTGCGAGCATATAAGCGTACGTTCGTTCGTGTGTGTGCGTGTGTGCGAGCATATAAGCGTACGTTCGTTTGTGCGTGTGCGTGTCGTGCATGTGTGCATGTGCGTGTGTGGGTACGTGCGAGCGTGAGAGCGTGCGCACACGCGCGCTTATGTACACACACGAACACACACGCACACACACAGACAGACAGTCACACACACACGCGCGCATACACACGCACGCACGCACGCACGCACACACACACACACACACACAATTATCGAGCAGGAGTGCTGTTGCAAGGCTGTGTCTATAGTCACAACGAACACCGTCAGCAGCAGCGTGGCGCTACACGCGCTAGTTTACATCCCATAACCACCTCATGAATACATTTATATCGCGCCCATAGATACACTCGGTTCGCGTGGAAAATAACGCGTCGCATCCTCAAAGGACGGCCATGAAAAGCAGCGCGATATAAGAAAAACGAGCCACAAACACAAAGAAGTAAAAATACGAAGAAGGCACGGCAAAGACACGACAATCCCACGATACCTTCATGATCAAGCCAAGGACACACGAACGGCGCAAGAATTGCACAACGAGAACACGTCAACGACACATTGTAAACACGTCGATGACACAGTAAAGACACGTCAACGACACAAATGAAAACACGTCGTTGACACAGTAAAGACACGTCAACGACACATTGTAAACACGTCGATGACACGGTAAAGACACGTCAACGACACAGTGAAAACACGTCGATGACACAGTAAAGACACGTCAACGACACATTGTAAACACGTCGATGACACGGTAAAGACACGTCAACGACACAGTGAAAACACGTCGATGACACAGTAAAGACACGTCAACAACACAATGAAAACACGGTGATGACACAGTAAAGACACGTCAACGACACAATGAAAACACGATGATGACACAGTAAAGACACGTCAACGACACAATGTAAACACGTCGATGACACAGTAAAGACACGTCAACGATACAATGTAAACACGGTGATGACACAGTAAAGACACGTTAACGACACAATGTAAACACGTCGATGACACAGTAAAGACACGTCAACTACACAATGTAAACACGGTGATGACACAGTAAAGACACGTCAGCGACACAATGTAAACACGTCAATGATACAGTAACGACATGTCAACGACGCAATGAAAACATGGTGATGACAGAGTAAAGACACGTCAACGACGCAATGAAAACATGGTGATGACAGAGTAAAGACACGTCAACGACGCAATGAAAACACGTCGATGACACAGTAAAGAGACGTCAACAAAGCAATGTAAACACGTCGATGACAAAATAAAGACACGTCAACGGCACAATGAAGACAGGGGAAACAACGAGCAAAATACACCCGCCGAACTATTCGATCAAGCTCCTACCAGGTGTCGCCACTTTCAAGGACATCAGATATTATACACATTGTCAACTTTACTCTCCCCATCGCTCTATCTCTTTCTGTCACTTTCTCTCTCTCTCTCTCTCTCTCTCTCTCTCTCTCTCTCTTTATCTCGCTATCTTTTGTGCTATATCTCTCTTTTTCTCTGCTCTCTCTCTCAGGTGCGAACGCTGTGTCTTTCTCTCTCTCTCTCCCCTCTCACTCGCTTTTCTCTATCTCCTCTCTCTCCCTCTCTCCTAGAGCTCCTCTCCTCTCCTCTCCTCTCTCCCTCCCTCTCTCTCTCTGTGCATGTCTCACTCTCGCCGGTGTTGGGTGTAAGCGCCTTGCAGCCGTTAGCTAGTATAAGCCTGGGTATGCCGGAGTTCATGGCAGATGAGACTCACACTTTGCCTGGCCTCACTGCACGCCGCTTCAATTTGCGGGCGCGGTGAGAGCAAAGCGCGAAGCCATATATTGTCTGCCGTCGCGCGATTAGCGCCTAGCAGTTATTATTATTATTATTATTATACAATCGAGCAGCGTGAACTATAAACACACGTGGTCGTGACGTGCGCACGATGACGCACGCACAGAGACGTCCACGACACCACATTCTCATAGTGATACACCTCCAGCACGCATCGTCTTTTACGAGCGACGTTTCTATAGACATTATTACTTTATTCTCATGACATTCATAGCTACAACGATGTATTGCTATAGGTACACTGGTATTGGCATTGGTGAACTTGGTCATTGCGACCTTCCCGTAGCGACACTCTCATAGCAACACTCCTATAGCGACATACCCAGCGTGACATTCTCGTAGTGACACTCACATATAGCGACATTCTCGTAGTGACATTCACATAGTGACATACCCAGCGTGACATTCTCGTAGTGACATTCACATAGCGACATTCCCAGTACTCGGCGATCATTGGCGACCATGGCGACCACACCACGATGTCTGGCGCTTCCACCACGCTTATACCACGCTTATGGCGGCCTTGGCGCGCTCTTGGCCCATTTTCCGTCGCCGTAGCAGCGCAGTAAGGACGCCACCCCGGTGTGACGGGGGTATTACGTATCACAAGGATCCCAGCATTTCTCTCGTTTACAGGTTACAGTACGCGTTTTATACTTAACAAGCAAGGCCTCGGACGCTGCGCCACCGATTTACATGCGCCGTTACGAATAAATGCGACAAAATAATGTCCGAAAACTTGCGCAAAGTGTCGTTTAAAGAGAAGCCCCAAGGCAAGCTTCTCAGATATAAACGGCCCACGAAGTAGGACGTTATTCGTGCGCGCGTCGCCTCGATGACACTTGAGAGAGCACACGATTCGTCGTAATCACGCCACGGGAGCGCGCCGCAGACGACCGCCCTCGGTGCAAACTACATCCAGGGTCGCTGTTCGTGACGTCACACAGCTCCAGGGCACGGCGCGCATCTCTCGGCGAGAGGCAAGATGGCGCGGACGGGTAATTACGCGTTTATGATTTCTCGTGCGGATTTTGCCGCCGGTGCAAGCGCGTAATAACATATGAAACGTGCGCGCGCGAGAGAGAGAGAGAGAGAGTGTGGCGAGTAGAAAGCAGCGGAAGCCGCGGGAGGGAGGGAGGGAGACGGGACAAGGGGGCCGGCACATTCAGCTACGCATAATCATGGCGATAACACTCAAGAGGTTTACACTCAGAAGAGATTGCAGCATTGCTACTAGTAGCAGTAGTTGTATAGCAGTAACAACAGCAGCAGTAGCGGCAGCGACAGTAGCAGCAGCAGCAGTAACAACAACAACAGCGGCAGCAGCAGCAGCAGCAACAGCAGTAGTAGTAGTAGCAGCAGCAGCAGCAGCGATTGCACGGCCGCCACTACAAGCTACAGCAATGTTAGAAGTGTCAGTAGCTTCAGGGGGACAGCACACGCACCTAGACATGCCACGGCATCGACCTACGCGTCTCCTAACAATCCTAATCGTGTTCCAATCTTGTCTAACAATTGAGCTATTTAGATGGCGACATCGATCAGCGACAATCTGCCGTTCTTTCTCTCTTAAAGGAAATCGGTTACGTGTCGGTTATTGTGGGCGTGTGTTTGTACATGCATGTGTGCATGACAGTCTAGGTGCCGGGCGTGTGTGTATACGTGCACATGCGCGTGTTTGCATTATATTAAGAGTAGATGTAGGGGTCTATATGTCTAAATTCGGGCTAGCACTGTTATGTTCACAGCTAAAAAATATGGCTGCTCTTGGATAGAAAATGTCGTTCAATGCCACACAGCTACATCACGTATTGGACGCCTGACTGTACGACAGAAATACACTCCCCCCCCAAAAAAACGCCCCTGGAAAAAATATCTTATCCGACCACTACGGCTAAGTGTCACTTCACCTCGGCGCACTCTAACGGAAAGAAGGGGAGAGCGGGAAATTTATTGACGCACGTGTGAACCGATGCAGTGATGAATCCCTTCTGATAAACGCAAGGGATAAAACCCTCATGACGAAACCTTTATGCTGGAACCTTCACGATACAACTCTCATGATAGAACTGTTATGATGGAACCCTCATGATAGAACTCTTATTATGGAACCCTCATGATAGAACTCTTATGAAGGAATCCTCATGATGGAACCCTCATGATGAAACCCTCATGACAGAACCCTCATGAAGGAATCCTCATGATGGAACCCTCATGATGGAACCCTCATGACAGAACCCTCATGATGGAACCCTCATTATGGAACCCTCATGACAGAACCCTCATGATGGAACCCTCATGATAGAACCTCATGTTGGAGCTCAGGGGTGAAGCCCTCGCGAGAGAGAGAGAGAGAGTCTAGAGCAGCAGCACTAATATAACACCCAGCGATGCAGCCCCGCAGCGTCCCCCCCCCACAACTATCTAACCGATGCAGATCTCACTGATCAGCCACCGATTAGAGTCACGACGGATTCATGATCTTATCGCTCTCTGCCAAACGTCGTCGCTCTCATTCCGGTGCGTGAGAAAAACCCATCTCCACCGCAATTCGTCTTCGACTGGCGGGGGAAGGTTGACGTAGTTGCGTCTGCCCCGCTCGCCTGCGCCCGCCGCACACTGCCTGCGAGAGACACTGGCAACGACGGGTCATTTTCACCAGCCGAACCCCGTAACGAGTGGGAGCTGCGCGGGCGTTACACGGGCGACCGAGAGGCGCCGAGATTTACTTAGTTGTCGACAGGAGAGGGGTCATGGGGAGAGCAGGGCGGGCGGCGGCGGCGGCGGCGGCGGCGGCGGCGGCGCGGCAACGCATGGCTTCCCACAAGAGGCGCGGTGGGGCGGGGACGTGATGAATAATAAGATGAAAAATTTACGCGAAAAGCCTCGAGAATGCACGCGAACGTAAATCGAGTTTGCGCCATTAGTCTCGCGTAATTAGATTAATGAGTACAGACTTGATTAACTATCCAATCGCCGGTAACATTCTACACTGTGACAGCCACTCAATGATGCACGCTAACGCCTGCCGACTAACCACACGCCTACATGAGAAACTCAATCCTCCCCTGTCCTCTACACCTACCCCAAGCATGCTGACAGCTACTACATAGCAGCCAAACAATCCATAAACGCCCTCTACCCGCGCAGTAATAAAGCTACAGCTGCTGCGTAGACACGTACCGATTGCACGCGATGTGAGTGCTGTGTCGGTAGAGAGTTCGTGTGTTCCGAGCCGGGTCCTGCGTATTAGCACCGCTCCGCTCGCAGCCTCCGTAACATCACTCTGTAGTTGTCGGCGGCCGCTCGTGTACCTGCACGCAATACAACAAGACAACGATGTGACTATATGACACGATGCTATGTAACACGATGCTATATCATACGATGCTATTTCACATGACGCTATGTCACACGATGCTATATATCAGATAAAGCTGTTGCTATTGCTATAAACCACTTGACGCTATATCACAAGATATAACATTACCCGATGGTATATCACATGATGCTATATTACACGTTGATGATGCTATGTTACATTGTGCAATATCATATGATGCTATATCACACCATGATGAAGCTGCAATACATTGTGCTATAGCACATGATGATGATGATGATGATGATGATGATGATGATGATGATGCTATAATAGATTGTGCCATATCACACCATGATGATGCTATGTTACATTGTGATACATCACGCACGGTGCTGAACCATACGAGTCATGTTAATGAGGAAACGAGTGAGAAGATTGTGCGACACTTACGGGTAAATGTGGGCACCCTCATATATTAAGGTGATTAGCTTAATAATTAAATTATGGAAATAAAATCAAATATTTTCATTCCACATTTTTTTAGAAACACTCGCTACACTGTTCTATTACTCTGCAGTCCTGCCTAAACAAACAAACAATAACTACCCTGTTAGACTCGTTACTACAGCCCCCCATCTCGTTGCGATCGGCGGAACAAGCAATGCCAAGGTCTTGGTCGGTCAGCTACGAGAGGACAAGGCGTTATATTATCAACTAGAGCACTCGGAGAGCACACAGACCTCCGCCAAGGCAGCTGAATTGTCTCACTGTGAAAAATTTAATTAATTAAGTGAAAAATTTAATTTATTAGTTAATTAATTAAACAAGTGCCGCGGAGCGACAGCGCTCATCTAACATCTACTGCGGTGACTCTGTGGTGGAGTGGTGGGATTCTAGTAAACCCTGTTAGTCGCAAATGTGTTCACATACACGCCGAAACAGTGGAATTCACAGGGATGGTATCAGGAACCTTCTCAAAGGAATGTTCGTTGGGCTCGTTATGAAAGTTGC